GAAGGCCGCTGAGCTCAAGGATGCTTCGTATGCAGATTACGCCTCAATCATGTGCCGCATCGCTGACCGCCGAAAGCATCAAGGTGAGCAGCGAAACGAGAACGAAAAGTAGATGATCGACATTACTATTATAAACTCTTAAGAGTCATTGGCGTTGGCTCAGTCATGATGACATGAATATAGCCGGCGAAAAAGGGATGGTCTTTGTGATCTCTAAGAACTAAACCTCAGTCTTGCGTGAAATCTCAGAATTACCGGTCAGAGTATTGCCTTTCCTTAGTTGATAGTGTACATATAGAAACAGTCTTTACAGAAGCATTCGACGTTCAGAGGCGCTGAATTTCGCCGTGCGCTAAGAGGGTCCAGACAAACCTCGAAATCCAAAATTCCCAGTACTATGTGATTTCACATACTACAGCCGTGACTAGTATGCGAAAAATGAACACAACACTTATCACCCTTACATCAGATGACTAAGATTGTGTTGACGCAAGAGCAAGTCAGGCGCAAAGTTAGTCATGTATGACATGTCGATGTCATTCGCCATGTGCTGAGCCATATCTTCCATGTTCCCCATGATTGCATCCATCTCGTCATGCGACACTTCTTCCATCTCGTCATCTTCATCTTCATCTTCATCGAGTTCCATATCAGGCTGAGCCTGTGATTCCTCATCGGCCGCCTGCGTCGAAGCCTCCCACTCTTCAATGTCAATACCAGCGAAGAACGAGCTTCCGTTTGTGTCTTCTTTTGATCCCTCGTTGTCGGCAGTGGTGTCTGAGCCGAGATCGAACGACGTGACAGAAAACATGTCTAAATCTTGGAATGCCGAACAGACAGAAGTTGGAAGAGAACTTGGCGTACTAGGGGTGGAATCATCGCCGCAGGAGTATGACTTGGCAATGACCTCGTCATCAACCCCTAGCTTGACCAGATGAGAGCTTGCAAGAGAGCCAGTGAGGAATCTTTCCAAGACAGATGGATTCATGACGGGCTTTTCCCCAGAGACAAATTGGAGTTGGTTGCCGTATTGAGCATGGAGGGCTTGGCCAATACCGGGGGCAAACCAGACGCCGTGAAGCTCGAGGCGGATGACATCTGCAACGTTAGTATCGAGCAATCTTCGTAAGGCTAGCGTGATCGGGTGTTGCGCGTATAAGATAGAGTCATCTACACACGAATTGGCCAACTTTGACAGTGACGAATCAATGCGGATGTAAAGATCCTCAAACTTCGCACCTGTCATAGCGAGGGACGCGATGGTGCTAGCTATGTTTCGTTCCCTTTCTGAGTTCGCTCCTGAGATTGTAGCATATACGGCGAGACGACGGAGGTACCGTATCCACTTATCAGCAATAGGAGGAAGGATGGTAGCGCTGTCATTTGGGGGTGATGCGGCGGTGATGGCGAACGCGTTGTGCTGGTGAAAATATGATGCCGACTCTTGACCAATTTGCTTCGAGGCGCCAAAGAGTGCTGACACAGCAGGTGTTTGCTGAGGATGGCATCTGTCAAGGAGCTGTCCATAGATCGTGTTGCGCACCTCTGCCGGTAAGTCGTTGAACATTTTCATGGTGCCTAGAGGGAGTTCGTATATCTGTCGTGGTTGGTCAAGGATTTTGTGAGACGAACGTGATTTGAATGGTGGGTGGTGATATCCTTTGACAGTGTTTCCTGTTTCAGGTGGCGTGGTGTGGGGTCGGGTCAACCAGCGCAAGCAGAGGTGAAAGCATGCACTAGTATCGGGAACACTAAAGTCGTCGATGTACAACGCTGTGCCGAACGGGTAAAGTTGCTGAAATATAGTGCTGTGACGAAAGAGCAAGTTGATTGTTGTCCGCGTGAGATGCAGTCGTAGTAGACGTGGCGGCGTGGGAGTTGAGCGGGCTTTGGGTGCGTGCAGTAACAGCGGTGCGATGAGAATGGGTTCGAGGAGACTGTACAACAGGTCCAGCTGTTATGCGGCTTCCGAAGGATGATCGACGCTAGCGCGCACACGTGAATGGCTTAGGGTCTGGCGGCCGCACAAAGCATTCAAGGGCAGGAGTACTCGCTAAGCCACGTTTACCATGGAACTGGCCCTTATATGTTCCCTTCAACCATGGGTGATGACTCCGCCTTCCCGCTCATGCCAGTACAGTCTCATATTGCAGCTGCCTGATAGGATGTACCGTATACCCCCTGTCCTATCCTGGACCACACCTATGGAGTTTATCGGGGCTTGACCATCTCGTTTGGCCTTAATTAGACCTCAGCTATACCTCACCCGGGAACTGTACGCTGCAGTCGAAATTGATGTACTGCAAATGCTAACTTGACGTATACCTCTTGGGTGGTATTTAAGTACTCTCTGCGACTTGTTTAAATCAAGTCTGTTTGTGCAGCAAACGTCATCGCCTCAGGCAGAAGTCCCTCATATTACCAACGTCGTATAACGCGCCAATCGAAATGCGGAATTCGGTGGATACTCACAAGGAGTATAGCACAGCCGCCGTTCTGATGCAAGTTGCCCCGTCTCAAGGCTTCCTCGCTCTTTTCCGCTACCTAGATGGACCGCCCAACATGGTGCGCTCCATACAATATCTATCGCAGCTTAGTGATTTCAACCTCAACTCTCTGCATGTATACTTGAGGTTGTGGGTGACCTGTCCTCTATTGAGTCGGTGCACATCCATCGCACATGTCGCACGATCCTCCAAGGCCGACTTATCGCGTCATCGAGGGATGGGCTTCCGCCTACTCGAAGACAGATATCCTGTCCGAATCTGTGCTAGAGCTTTTTGTATGGATCGGATGCATCGGCGGCTAGCGAGGTAGGGGTCGATCATGTGTGCACGCGTTGGATCTGAGTGATTGTATCGGGGATACGAACGTGACGCACGCGTGTCACCAAATCAGAATTCGTGAGGTGCGCGCAGAAATCTAACGAAAGAGGAAGCAGGCGGCGTCGACAATTGGACAGATCACGATGGGCAGATAGAAGAAAGAAGGCAACTATGGCACGCGTCGTGGAGTGACATTTCCTGGGTCATGGAGGTGTGGTGTTCCAGCGCTAGCTAATCGATAAGCGTCCACGTGACTGGTTTTCTTCTCCATTGTTGTCCACGGGGTGCTTTCACACGTGTCTCGATATGCACCTGCCGATTCACAGCTCTTGATACGTTGATCACGTCCTTATGACTCAACACATCACATTCACTCAAGTTTGCTAAGCCCTCTGCATACCACCTTCCATGTGACTCATGTTCCGTCTTCCTCGACCATGCGAATGACTAGGTCGCAAGCGTGTTGTGAGGCGCATCATTATCAGGACACGGTTGCCTCTGATACGTCACATCTGGACACGGCTCCAGGAATTGCGCGATCTAGTGGTATGAATTGGAGGGTGGAGAGCTTGTTGCCCGGTCCACACGTCTCACAAGAGCAGCTTTCAGCTTTAGCATGCGCCAACTCCGTACAGCCAGCAGCCTTCACATGTATATGATAATTCAGCATCCCAATCTGTTGCTATCTTGCTCGGGAGACTCGGAAAGACGTTATAAACTTAGTCAGATGTCCATAACACATTCATTTTCGCGTCGAAGGGTGCGGATAAGGTGGTACACCCGTGTTTGCACGGGAACCAGTTAAAGAAATGCAGATTCCAAACGATGCATCCGCATCGAGCCAGAACGTATAGTACAGAATGCTGGAACCACAAACGAGTCAAACACGTAGGGCCAGGATGGTGATGTATACCACGCTGACGCCCGATCAGTTCACTATGACAGACGATGTCGACCAGCCAAAATGTACACCAAGAGACTCTTTTCAATGACGATGCACCCTAGATATACTACGCTTCTCAGGTATACAACATACTTTGTGTTCCAGTACGTTGATGTAAAATACTGCGTGTACCTTTAGCGTAGACGTAGGTGTCAGGTACAATCTGACGAAGATCAGCTCCTTCGTATGTCTCCATACTACTCCTGCACAAGTGCATAAATCGTGGCAGCTGTTAACAGTCCTCGTTTGCGACCGCAATTCACTAGTGAACACCTCAGAGTCCAGGCACGCGCCGCGCTAGCGGTGGCGGAGCATCTCCCACCCTTGGAATCTTGCGGTATAGAAATATGAGCCTCTGATATTTCCGATCCTCATCCTGTTGTCCACTTACAGAACTGATTCAACAGGTCATATTCTAACACCCCACATCTCGACTCAACATTACCCAGCAGATTGACTTTTAAACGGCTCCCAGTCATGCATCTTCCCACTGCACTCACCGCCTTCATCGTCACCACTGCCCTTGCAGCCCCAACATCTATCAACGCCACCTCAAATTCCACTCTCGCCGTTGGGAACGACAACTTGGGGATTCTTGGGTGCTTCCCGTGCTTTATCTACTACCTCAAGTGCCGCCAGGTAAGTGGCATCCAAGCTCGATCATCATAATTCCTATCCTAATTAGCTTTTTAGACACAAGCTAGCGACGAGATCTGCCGATGTTTGACATCTCCTCAATACAACGGTCGTTGTCGAACCGATTCTTGTGGATATAAGGACTGCTAAAGGCAAGTGATAGTGGAGAGTACGATCAATATAGGACCTCGGAATTGAGTGCGTGGGTGCACCGATTGGGGGAAAATGATGATGTCAAGTTTGACGGATACTTGAGATTAGGTACCTCAGTGTGATCGCTATAGGAATCAATGCAATGAATACCTAGTGATGGCTACTGTAAGACACCGACGAACAGTTCATATGCAAAGCGCTGCTACTCAAAGAGTGATGTGGCGCTTCATATTCACGCACATTGATCTTTGAATCAAAGAATGAACTTCTTTAGAAGGTTGGCAAGTTTCTCAGGCTGTTCAAGTGCTAGGCTATGCCCACACTCCTCAAAAACCTCCGCAATATGCACCTTCTCGACAGCAGACTGTATCTGCTCTTTGACAAGCGGCCCGAAGAACCTAGATACCGTTAGCCATCTCCGCAAACCATGCAACATCACAAACTTACTCAGGGGCTCCCACGGTCATAACTTTACATTTCAACTTCTCCTTGCTCAAAATCTCCTCTTCAACATCTACATTGACCCAATGCGCCCGATAACTTTCCAAGACACCCCTCAGCCCGCCGGGTGCCTTCAGACATCCCACCCACTCATTGACGGCTACCTGATCTAACGCACTAGGATTATAGCACTCTGCCTTCATAAAATGTGTCCAAAACTCTTCCTCCTTCCCTTGGATCAACATCTCCGGTACATGCGGAAGCCAGAAGAAGGGGATATGCCAGTTCCAAACACCACTTTGATTGTACTGAGCAGCAATGTTCTTGCGTGTGAAGAACGTTTGCTTGGTAAGGGCGTAGGAAAGCAGCATCTCGCAGAAAGAAAGATGGGTTACCCGCTCTGGATAAAGTCCTGCGAGACAGAAGGCATACGTTGCGCCCCGATCCTCGCCATGGACAGCAAACTTCTCGTGCCCTAGTTGGTGCATCAATTCGGCCATGTCTGTCGCGTTTGTCCGACCATCGTAACCTTCGCTGGCAGGTGGTTTGTCTGTTGCACCGAATCCACGCAGATCTGGGGCGACGATTGTGAACTTTTTCGTCAAAAAAGGCGCGATGCGATACCAGTAGTAATGTGTTTTAGGTGTGCCGTGTAGTAGGAGTAGAGGTGGACCCGATCCGGATGTGATGTAATGTAAGCGGATACCATTTACCCGCGCCATGTGATCGCGTACGGGCTTGCCCTCGTGGTCTTGCATTTCAGGCATCTTTGACGTATATTTTCGCTGCAGCAGGAGTCTTGTTGATTGCTGGTAGGATCTGCAACACGTTGAAGTGTTTCAGGATTACCTAGGTATGGTGGCATTCAGTGAGGTAGCGCTACCCCACATTTCGACGTCATTGTTGACCGACAAGTAAGCGGAGACATTTCCGCACTTGACACATCCAAAGCATTGCTTTTTCTCTTGTCGTGGGTATTGCTGGTTGGAACAATGAAATATTGACAAGGTGCAAAACAGCGGAGTCACGGGACAGTACTGACATTCGCCCGTATGATGATTGAGGGCCTCACTTTGTCGATTGCGAAAGTTTTCAATTATTTGTCTCATTTAGGCTGAGTAGTTTCCATAGGTTCTATCTCTTTTTCTTCCATGTTATACAGCCTCATGAGTCCGGAATGGCAGCGATAGCCTCAACCTCGATCAAAAAGTTGCCCGGCAACTTGCCAACCTCAACAGCGGTACGTGCAGGCTTTGGGCTGGGTAGCATAGCAGCATAGACCTCGTTCATAGCCGTGTAGTCTGACATGTTGGCAAGGAAGACAGTAGTCTTCATAACATAGTCCCACGATGTGCCAGCTTCCTCGAGGATAACGGCAATGTTCTTGATGACTTGAGCCTGGCTTGAGTGAGTATGACACGAGGAGCTGAGTAGAGAATTGATTCGCGTACCGTTTGAGCTTCAATGCCGCCTGATACAATCGTTCCGTTGAACGAAGGTACAGTTCCCGAGGTATAGACTATGCCCTTGGATGTCCATGCACCGCTTGCTTGACAATCATCAGATTCTGTTCAGGTGAAATAGCCTGTATAGCATACAAAGAATAGGTCCTTGGGTACCGAGATAGGTTACCACCGGCTGTTCAGCGAGCTTTGGTGTTGGCGTGGCGATTGCAACACCAGCAACTGCAAGAAAAGTGGTAACGAGAGCCGTGAAGGATACCATGATGTGATCGGACTACAGCACGTGGGTTCTGGAGAAACGTAGATGTCAAGAGCTGAATATTATGGTATGAGTACCTCAATCAGCTTCGGTTTGTCTATGGTTTTATAAGCGTCGCCAATACTGGCGGATCATCTGTTCCCAACTCTTTCGTGTTCGGTCAAGTTCATCGTCCGCATTGTACCGACCGCCATGACTTCCAAGAGCTGCGAGTATCCATGCACCAGGTAAGGCTTGCTGCCAATGTCATTCCAAAATGCAGTCAATACTGTTGGATTACAGCCACGGTTGATGTTCCATGATACAGTCAGACTCGTTTGTAATCATTTTTCAATCCGCCGCCGGCTCTAAGGTACCGGAATGTCCACCAGGAACAATATTACCTGCACTACACCCAAGTTGGCAGCGTCTCGCCCAACCATTTCGGCTGTGATCGTGGGGTTATAGAATTCACAGATATCTAGAATGCACTAGAAAAGGAAGGAGGATAGCATGCGAGGTCTTGTGGAGCAGAGCGACTTAAGCTATCGCAAGAAGGGCCGTAGAAGATGTAGCTCGCCTGGGCGCCGAGATATCTTCACACTTATACTGTGCGTTTAACGCGTGCATTGCGAAGCGCGCTCTCGTCCTGACGTAACGTGAGATAAAGGCTGCATGGATTCGAGATAAGAGTCGGGATTTAGGCTAGCCGTCGTGCGTCTGCGTTATCGCAATCGCAGAGCTACACCTGGGGTATCCATGGCTTGCCGTTCGCTACCTTATTTGCCGAGAGGATCCAGACCCCTGTCCGAACTTTTCTACGGTAAAGCAACAAGCCCTATCCTTCGAGTTTTTGATACTGTTCCCGGACAAGACTCCATGCCACGTTCTGTAGAACCGCATGCCCGACTCATGCTTCTGGGATAGCCCCACTTAAAAAAAATCGACGTAGTGTAGGGTCGCGTCCAAGGTAAAATGCAATACTCCAAATACGCTTCTTGTATGCATAACCAGCATGAAACATGGCCACCTGAGCAGGTATGCTCTAGTCCAAGTATATTCTCTTTCTGCGTGTCGGATGTGAATCCTTAGCATTGCAGAGATGTGAAAGCGATTGTTACCTCCGATACCAGTAAGGACCACAGTGGATCGTTCAAGGTACAGTAACATCGTAAAGTCGCATACGAGACTACTGGTGTCGGTGCCGATACAACTCGGAATGATAGTCATGGCTGAGCCGGGATGCTTTTTTATCCGATGTTTTGTTATCTTTCCGTTGGTAAAGAAACCTCACTCCGCAACGCCGATCTCTTCCGCAAGCTGAATCTCCACACTATCACCCGTCATACGTTGCGCTACTGCACTTCGCTTCGAGGCATACTGCGGGTCAACTGTAACGGGGATTTGGACGCGACACGACCCCATCTTACGAGAATATTTGTCGAAGTCGCGCATAGCTACGCCTTACAGCAATGCTCTTATCGCGGCCGAATGCATAGACGTCCTGTCCTGTCAGCGGCGGACGGGCCGTCGCAACGACATGATCCGAGGACCACAGCCACGCCCTACGACGACACGGACGATAAGGTTTGGTGACCAACGAGAATCGAAAAACAGTTGTAAGCCTGTAAAGCATTGCTCGCCGTGGTGTCGAACGAGGTCGGTATTTGAGTAGACGATGTTTCCCTTCTCTTCAAATTCCTATCCTCATCACATTCACCTCTTTCTTACGCCAAGATGAAGGGTCTTCTAACAGCCTCATCGGCTGCCCTCTCTCTCGCTGGTGGTGCTGTTTCCAGCCCAGTAACCCCTCGGTCAGACCTCCTCTTCTTCAAGCCTCTGACGGTTACATCGAACTCGGTACACAACGTCCATGTCGGCTACGGAGAAGATGACTTCGAGGGTGAGGTCCGCCTGGTATATGGCGATTGCGACATGAAGAGCCATGCGGATGGCCATCATGATGTGGCATCGCACTACATCAAGCGATCAGGCCGTCCCGAGCGATTTGTCTGGATCGTACCGGACGACGCGGTTCACGGTGGATGTCTACATGCTTACTCGGGGTCCGCATTGATCGGTCGCTCAGCGCCTGTTAGAATCCATCATCCACCAAAGAAGCGGGAAGATATCTCAGACGTAGCCGATGCGATGGGTCCTTGGTTCGACGGTGTCGCATACATGCAGGCAAAGCAGAACAACGCCTCATACGTCGCGGTTGAGAAGAGCAAAAAGATCGCCATCATCGGAGGAGGTATGTCTGGCTTGATGACAAGTCTTCTCCTCGATTCGGTAGGCATCCACGACTGGCACATCACCGAATCATCACAACGTATCGGTGGACGTATCCGAACAAAATACCTTGCCGGCAGCACACCTGAGCAATATCAGTATCAGGAGATGGGCCCTATGCGATTTCCTGTCTCAACCACTTACCCAGATACGAACGAGACATTAGAGATTCAGGACCACAAGATGGTTTTCCAGCTCGGTGATGTCCTCAACCAAATGAATGGAGGCAACACCAGCAGCCTTGCTGTCAACTTCATTCCCTGGATTCAATCAAGCCCAAACGTGCCCGGCAACTCGAACGGTTTCCGTCTGCCGAACGGACGCATTCCTAGCGCAACTCAGATCAAGAACAACGCGACGGCCTACACGCTGCCTGCGGCTGAAGGTCCGGACGAGGAGACTGTGGAGCACGTTGAAGAAGCGCTTGATGACTTCATCGGGTACGATCGGGAGGCCGCACGCGAAATATATGCCAACGTCTACAAAGCTCACAAGAACGCTGTTGAGAAAGGCTTGTTCCATTGGTCTGAGGCAGCGTACATGAAGTATGCGCTCAACGCAAGTGACAATGTCGTCGACTATGTTACTGGCCTCGAAAACGCACCAATTTGGGAGTATGAGACGGCATACTTCAGTGCCACGACTTGGCGAACGATCGACAAGGGTCTTGAGTCGCTTCCTCGCGCGTTCTACCCTCATGTTCAGGACCGTCTGACGCTGGGCCGCAAGGTGACTGGCCTCAAGCACGACGAGAGCACCGGCAAGATTGCGGTGCAATGGCGCCAGGATCCTCTTGCAATGGAGCCGGAGAGCGAGGAGTACGACTATGCGGTCGTCGCGGTACCATTCTCGAAGGTTAGACTCTGGGAACTCCCTGAGTACTCGTCACTCTTGTCGCGTGCCATCAACGAGATGAACTACTCGCCGTCATGCAAGGTCTCTCTACACTACAAGACACGTTTCTGGGAGAAGCTTTCACCACCCATCATCGGTGGCTGCGGCTCAGTCGATATTGCAGGTATCGGCAGCGTCTGTTACCCTGCGTACCAGATCAACTCAACCGGTCCCGGAGTCATCCTAGGATCGTACGTTTCCGGTACCCTAGCTCGCTCAGTTGGTGCGCTCAGCACGACTGACCACGTAGCCATGGTCCAGCGGGCGATGGTAGAGGTCCACGGTGAAGTGGCTGCGGAGCAGTGGACTGGTGCATACGAGCGCCAGTGCTGGGAATTCGACGAGCACCAGGCTGGTGCGTGGGCATCCCCATTCGTTGGCCAGCAAGATCTGTTCCTGCCTGCCTACTACAAGACCGAGCACCAGTCCATCTTCATCGGAGAGCACACAAGTTACACACACGCTTGGATCTTCTCAGCGCTCGACTCGGCCGTGCGCGGCACTTCCCAATTGTTGTTAGATATGGGTCTGGTCGATGAGGCGAAGCAGATCGTGGATACATGGATGGGAAGGTGGATATCCATTTAAGTGGAACAAAGACAAAAGAAAATAAAAAGCTAGATAAATACCATGGCAATGAATAATGTCTGATCGATACACCAAAGAATTGCAACAATGATGAGCTAGTAACCGTTGAAAAGATGCCATCTAAGTGGTATAGAAGAGATGAATAGTGTGCGATCCCCCTGTGATGGCGTCATGGCTTAGCGTGCCCAAGGTTTTGAAACCGAGGCTCTCACGCCAGGGTCCAGCCACCCCATTAATTCACATCTGATTCATTATATATGAATTTTGGAACCAGGATGGCTTCGGATCGTCATCTGCAGAATCGGAACTTCGCCTTGTCTTATTTGTCAAGGAGGTGACATGCTCCGCGCACCAACCTCATCGCTATCTACTGTTTTCTCCTGAGCATCTCGAGTGCGTTATCGCACGCACCACTTGTGTTCTTCTACTGCCATCCGACACACAAGCGCCTTCTATGCTGATACCGTCTCCGACTTCGCAATGCCATTCTTTTCATGTCCAATGGCAACAACCTTTTTCTCCACCAAAGCTTCCGTTCTAGATCGGCTGTTTGGATCGAAGTAGGGGACCTCTCCAATACCTACTGCTCGGTTACCAAAGCGTTCACCAAGATCATCATAATCGAAAGTTGCGCTGTGGAAGGCGCTGCGGTTGTCCCAAATAGCTGGAGTTGGTAAGTAAGAGCTTTACAAAAAGTCAAGAGTTGCTGCAGGCGCCTACCGATATCGTTCTTGTTCCTCCACTTGAAGCGGACTTGGAGGTCGTGATTCTCCGTTATCACAGACCGGAACTTCTTCAATAACTCTGCCGATTCTTCTTCGTGAAGCTCATTGATGTACTTGGGGAACGGACCAAGAGCGAAGATGCTCTTCCATCCCGTCACAGGATTTGTGCGCACTACTGGATGTACCGCACTCAACGCTTTCCCAACGTTCTTTGGACTACCACGTTCTTTTTCGTAGATTTTAACTTTCTCTGGGTTTGCTTCAGCGGCTCGAATGAAGCCGTCCCCGACGAAGGTTGCAGTCAAACCCTCGAAGAAAGTCTGGTAAGCTTTAGAGAAGCGGTTATAGATCTCATACCCAGAAGCCCAGAGTGTGTCGCCTCCCGTCTCTGGTAGTTCTGTCAGGCGGAGTGAGGTATAGTCAGCCGGAACTGGCTCAAACTGGATGTCCGAATGCCACTGCGCAGCGTCGTAGCGACGTGAACCACTTGGCCGACGATGGTCCTCATGTTTGAAGATGTTTTTACGACCGAGGGAGCTGATCGTGCTTATTTGCGCATCGTCCACGCCAAATTCAGAAGTGTTGTTCAGAATTGGATGAATATGCAGAGTGGAGTCAGCAGGCTTTCCTGTCAGTTGGCCCAGACGATGAACAAGGCTTTTTTGTAAGTCGTTGGTGAGGTTGTCTTGAGCTCGGAAGAAGACAACTCCACGTTCAGAGACTAGTTTCGGGTCAGACCGCTATTCGTCAAAGATCGACGGGTATAAGAGACTTACTTGTAATTGCAAGATCTCGAATGAGGTCGTCGGCGTTAGAAGCGTTCAGGATATCTTCGACGATGTTAACATTAGGATACTCTCGACCGATGACAGGGGTCGTTTCTTCAAACTTGAAGCCGGCATCAAGTGCACCTGTCTTGGTCTGTGGCGCAGGATACTCTTGCTTCGTTGACGTCGTCATATTTGCTTTACTGGATAGAAAGTTTGAATCCCTTTGGTTGCGAGTATGTTAGGGAGAAGAGAGACTCATATATCGATTCGACCCATGTCATGTATGAGCCTCGCTCGAGGTGGGGTCAGATCACGCAATGTGCGTACCGAGCACGCAAATCGGATCGTTGAATGTCGTCAACCTATCGCTACACTCCTTCAGGTGGGATATTTGGTCTATCTTAGAAAGTAGCAGCCGGCGGGGATATTGCACCCTCCAACATCTTGAAACGTCGGTTCGTACGAGACCTTGGTCTACTTGTCTAGATAAAAAGCTAGCAAAGGCATACAATCCTAGACTTGGGAAAGTGTCTCTTACAGACGAGTGGTTGAGTAGCCAATACATGCGCATGGGGCGGCATGAAGCCTGTCAGCATCACCCGAAGCAACCATAGAAGTAATTTAGTATTGGAGGATCGGTTATCGGGCGCAGCAAGACTCCGCACGGCGGACCAGCTGTATTGTAACTCAGGAAGGATCGTATGACCGACATATCAGATCGTTGGGCGAAGCCTTTTGACTTATCCGGCTTATTAGTCACACCAGTATGAGTAAACTCTCAAGAATGAGTGATAGTGTCCTCACGTGATCGCGCGTTGAATTACCCCGCAGCCCCAAGTCGCGACACGCTTACTCACAACCACTGTACCTAAGTTTTGCGACGTGAGGATTCTCGGAGTTTCTATTGTGCTTCGCATGCAATTCGACCAATTTGCAAGACATCTGTCTAGGACTGTGTGGAAGAGCTTACCGTTATATGGCGGATCTTTCTTTTACTGCGGTTGGTGACTTCGCAGGAGAACAGGTTACTAAATTAGAGGTTTTATCCCCATCAAATCCACTGCTTGTATCAACATGAGGTCTGGAAAATGTATACTGCCGCTTATGAAATGACCTGCATAGCGTTGTGGAGGGTTGGAGCAAGATCGCGTCGTCGCTTGTGGTAGAGACTGAATTCCGATCGTTGTCAACATCCGGCTCCGGTACTTGAGTCATGTTGCTCTGCTTGTTGGGAGTATTGGATAGTAGTACAAGTAGGTAGAAGCGGAGAACTTGGCATACTCCGTGGTATCTTTGAAACTTCCTTCTCTTGTTTATCGTGTTCCATGGATCTTCTTTACGTGAGCGGATGGCCGTATGGGGAAGGGGTTAGTGCTCTTAGCTTGCGTTTTCTCTCCGCTACACTCTCATGCGATCGTGCATTCGATGAATAGATCATCGACGTTTTGCTCAGTGTCCGAATTCCAAGGTGGAGGTGAAGTTGTCACGCTGTCGGTGGTCTGGTAGTGTCGGCGTCTACGGCGCGTGATCGCCAATATCGCCGACAGGGGATTTAGTGACTCAAGAGGTATATATGGAAAAATACTCACCTACACCAGCAACGATACGTATCGCATCACAAATCGAAGGACAAGATGGAAAACAAAACATTTGAATGGACGCGCACGGTCGACTCGACTACGTATCTCATATCCTCCGATCGATCGCTCCTTCCGCACCTGTTCGTCCAGGAAGCTTTTGCTACAGACGCAATGTTCTGGGCAAAACCGCTCCCTTTCACGGCGCTGTCGACGATGCTTGACAACAGTCTCACCCTCGGTCTCTACACCGTCTCGAACGATATCAAGACGCCGATTGGGATGGGGCGCATGGTTACCGACTACACGACGCTTGCTTACCTCACCGACGTCTATATCGTGCCCCAACATCAAGGCCATGGAATCGGCAAATGGCTGATTGCATGTTGTCGCGAGATCTGCGTCGGCATGGAAAATCTCCGATGGATGGTGCTCTTGACCGGCAGTGAGCAAGCGCAAGCGCTGTACAGGAGGGAGTTGGGCATGACAAAGCTCGACGGGGTGGAGGAGGGGTTGGTTTGTATGGGGTCACGCAGGGCAAAACTCGCCGAGGCCGCTCTAGGCTCAGCATAACGGGACCTACCGGCTTCCGCTTACGCGCGTATGTAGTTCCCTACCTTAAACATGGACGACTTTCTCCCACGATCAGACGCTACAGTGACAAAAACGTGGTTTGATGGTTGGCCTCGATTGATGACAACGGCTATTTTCGCTTCCGGACTAGTCTCGGGTCCATGCTGCATGCATGTCATCGCGTTAGCGCTAATATCGCCATCCTTTTTTCTTTATCAACATAGACTACTACAACAAGGGTCTGGTTCGCGCCCTCGGCCTTCTGGTATCTTCCGAAAACACAGACGAGGGCTGAATCCTGTTTCGAGGCCGGCATGCGACGAATTACCTTTACGGAGGTGCGGTTGGCCTGTAGCTGGAACTCCGTCTGGTGTTGGTGTCGCATCGAGATGCTACTCCAAGTGTATTACGCCTACTAAACTAGGGTTCGTCTCCGATGCTGCCCGAGGAAGACTAATCTAGATCGCACATGTGTAGACCTGTCGCATAGATCGCCAGGGACTTGTTGATATACCAGTCGACCTTGCGTCCACGTTCGCCGATCTCCCACAATTCACACCAACATGACCGCGACATTTAATACCACTCCACTATCACACACATCTCCCCCACCAGCCTCGCTGAAGAGAAAACGAGCAGATTCAGATACACAACCACTTACCCCGCCGCTAGCCGCAAACGATCCAGAAGGATCGCGTCTCCTTTCGCGCGCTGTCAACGTGCTCTCGACCGCTGCTACCGCCCTGTCGCAAGTAACCTTCTTGTACGAGTCAGACCATGTGGCGCGCGATGGTCTTCTACGCGCTGTCGAGGTTTTAACAAAGGTTAACCAGACCGGCGGCAAGCTCATAATATGCGGAGTTGGAAAGAGTGGCTTAGTGGGGCGCAAGATGGTTGCGACCATGAAGAGCCTGGGTATAGCGAGCTCCTTTATGCATGCTGCTGAGGCACTACATGGGGATCTCGGTGACATTAGGAAGGTGAGTCGTCATTTTAATGCCTATGCAACAAGGAATATACTGACGGAGAACAGAATGATGCAATCATGTTCATATCCTACTCTGGCAAGACAGCGGAGCTCATGGCCCTCCTCGAGCACATACCTTCCCACACGCCTATCCTCGCCATCACATCACATACGAAACCCTCAGAATGTCCTCTCCTCGACGATCGACCAAATTCCATACTGCTGCCCGCGCCCATACACGAGCTAGAGGAGGTCTCCTTTGGCGTCTGCGCGCCAACAACGAGTACAACTGTTACAATTGCAGTGGGCGATATGCTGGCATTGACTGTTGCAGAGGCACTGCATCAAGACGAGACAAAGACTGTGTTCAGGACGAATCACCCTGGCGGTGCGATTGGAGCAAAGTCACGAAGGATAGAAAGGCAGGAGGAAGATACCCCGGCGAAGGAATGCGATGGGCTGGTCACGCCGCCAGCAACCTGATTACGAATAGGAGGATATCAGGTAAGAATCTTGATACATGTATAGATTACATACATGCACGAGGAACGGGGAGCATATTTCTTAGTGTGCACAGAGGGCAGTTTCCTCACGTTCTTCACTCGACACTCGGCTTTACTCAAACATACCTTGTGATGCTTCACGTCACGTTACAGGCAAAACGAAGGTGATGTCGCTACCCTGTGAAGGGTAATACGATAACGGGCTCCCTGACGCGAGCTTCATTTCCCACTTCAAGTATCTTCATCGTTATTCACATGGAACTTTGAATCCCGTAGGATTACCGCCAAGGAAGCCCTAACAGGGATCGGCCTAATCGTCAACCTTGTGCAGTTCGTCGACTTTGGCAGAGAGCTTATCAGGTCTGCGAAAGAGATACAAGCCTTGGATAGCGGTGAGAACAAGAGTTTGGACGAAACCATTGTTCACCATACTCGCTCGACAGCTTCAAGAGCTTTCATCTAGATTGAAACTAGCCGTGGGCGGCGAGTTCAGCGAAGCCTTTGTTGCTTTTCACGTTATCGTCGCTGGGTGAACTGTCAAAGAGGGTGAGCGTTTGTGCGCCAAAGACGAGTAGTGAACAAAGACTCCACCGTGAATAGGAAGTGAGCGAGCATTAAAACGCTACCCAACACAGACTCATCGCAGGCCTTCTAGTACCTTGTGTCGTCTCCCCTCGTATCGCCATGGCAGATAACCTACAGTCAACGCAGAGGTCGCCGCCCCAAGAGAGGAATGGTTTCCTACGCGTCACTCCAGCACTCGACAGACCACAATCGTCTGGCTCGCAGGTCCCGATGAAAACTATAAAACGACCGTTTGGGGACGGCGAAACAACCGGCGAGCCCCTCATCAAACGCTCTCGCACAGATCAGAACGGCGACAGAAATCATCCCCAGGAACGAAAGCCGAGGACCCTAGACGCAGCAATGTTGAATGATAAACTCGGCCCGGCCGACCAGAAAACTTTAGAAGAAGTCAAGGCACGGATAGCATCAGCAACGCCATCAAAGCCTTCTGGTGAGTACATTACGCATCGCTCTTCACGTCACACAGAGTCGGTAAAGCCCGTGGTCACCACAAAACCTACTGTACCAAAGTCGTTGAGAGACGCACCTCCGCTTCCTCCAGATACCGAGCCTGATCGTGATTCTCCCGAGGATTCAGGATACGACAGACGTGATCACATGCGTACCGGACCGTGCTCTGTCGCAGGAGGCTTCATGGATGATAGGCGTTCATCTTTCTCCCCTTTGATTGAACATCAAGAACGCATTGACAGGCTTGATCCGGGACGAAACAAACCCATGCCGGAGTCTCGGAATCGACGTCGTTCCGCGTCGTCTGACGAGAGGCTCCCTGGAAAGAGGATGCGTGGTCAGGAGCGGCATGAGCAAGGCCATCACAGGGCGAGATTCCGTGAACGCGCGATGCGACATCATGATCGCACGAATAGTTGCCATATACGTTCGAGGAGCCGAAGTAGATCACTATCGCGAGAACAAAACGATGATCGGTATAGGGGAGATTATGCATCTAAACCAGAGCGACATTCACCACGGCGGCGGGATG